ATGTTGCTAGTCAAGGCACTGGTACTGTACAGACTAAGTTTTGTAAGTTTTGATTTACCGATTGTTTGCAACGTTTTGTCAAAGGAAACCTGCTCCCTTCATTCACTTGCTGCTTATACAGTTGATATCATCGCAACTGGACAGGGCGCCGGGAACGGGCTCGCTCTACTCCTCCTGACACACCCCTCCCCCCCCCCGTCGCAATGCGACAATATCAACTGCATGTAATAGGTGCACACACATTACGGAGATGAGGAAGGCGCGACTACACAGTTCATTTCAACATGGCTTACTAGAGAAAACCCTCAAGCCTACGTGGCCATTTCTGACCGATCCTACACAGGGCACATCGTTGTTGGGGATTTCCCAACAGGGGAGTGGTATTTGGTCGCTAGGGGGGGGGTCGTATTCGAGCAGAGGAAAATTTTTTCTGATAGTTGACTTTTCTTGTTTCACGGACGTTATAAAGTGGAGGGGGGGTCGTATTTGCTCGTCGTTGGGCGGGGGAGGACGCTCTTTCCCTCTGAACTTTTTAAGGAGGTTCCTGCTTTTTCGTAGTTTTCCTGTGCCATGTGTACTAGATACCCCTCGCCCACGCTCGACAGCAAAATTTTTGGGTAAAAGTAAGACTGAGAAAAATCTATAAAATGCTAGAGACGAGGGGAGCGTATTCTCCTCGCGATTTTCCCTGTTCCCCTCCCCCCGCTCGACAGCCCGATGAGGAGGGAACCAGGGGGTCGTACCAACCCCTTGAAAAAAAGGGTGGGGACTCGTACGGACTTAACCAAAATCCCCAACCAATGATGTGCCCTGATCCGATAGCATCGCATGCCTTTTCCAGTGATCCCAGATCAGCTTTGACTATCTGCCGAGCTTCTCAATAAACAGGATTATGAAGGTTCCCCTCGCCAGCTATCACGTTCACGGTCCGGGGAACAAATCTCAGGTCGCCTCCGATCCCAGGCTTCTGTGGTTGGGCTGTCATTCATTCGTATCAGACTTGTCCGGGAGGTCAACACACTGATTCAAAAGCGACTGGTGAGTCTTTATACAGGCCGAATAGCATTTGTGAGGCGCTTGATATTTTGAGTAAAGATACAGTAATTGTGTATCTTTGAAAGGGACAAATTTACGCCAAGTCTAACCTTCTTAGCTTTTTTATTATTATTATTATTATTGTTGTTATAGTTATTGTTATTATTATTATTATTATTATTATTATTATTATTATTATTATTTATTATTATTATTATTATTATTATTATTATTATTATTATACTTGTTACATCACAAAGGGTATCGAGGGCTTGTAAAGACCTAAGATGATCTGTGACGTCGTGTGATGGAGATAAGAAGTGCAGTATTTCTCTCGGAATCACTTGAAACAACGGGTGATTGGGATGAATCCTTTAAGCGGAACGAGGGACCGCCCTATCGCATAGTTATCGCAACGTGAGAAACGAGTGGCTCGAACGCATCGTCTTGCCCACTACTTCCCTTTCCACCAATGCTGAGTGGCCCACTATGGACATGAAGGCGATGGTCGTTATCTTTCTTCTATTCTATTTGAAGGAATCGCTTGAATGCGTTGCGACGAGGGATCCTGAACCAGATCGTAAGCCAGTTGTTCTTGCAATTATTGCCTAAGAGGGGCAGGAGGGCTGATATCCTTGGTTAACTCTGGTGTCTTCAGCAACCACAACTTCAAGAACCACTCGAAGAACCACAACAACAACAACAACAACAACAACAACAACTCCTACAACAACTACCACTTCTTTCGTTGAACACCATCGAAAGCGCCAACAACTATGACGACAGCAGAGGACCCCAGCGGAAAATGTTCGTCTGCTTTTGAATTATTACAAATTCCCTGTGCGAATCACACCTGAACTTTCTCGAGAACACCTTGCTTTTCCTCAGAGCCAGGGTTCTGCCTGCTAGGGCTAGAGCTCCTCAGCATGTAATTCATAAATCTGCTCCCGCTCGTTCCAGTTGAGATTTCCATCTTTTTCGCGACAGTATCACTATGTCTGCCATCACGCAATTGGAGCTTGCAAGCTGTTATCGCACTCATAATCCCCATGATTCTGAATGAAAATGCAGTACATGGCGCTTCCAAAAGGGATTATTCAGGTCAATGTTCTATCCTCCTTCATTAGAAGCGTTCTACTGGAAATTATTCCTTATATGGATGAAAGCTGGTGGAAAGCTGCGAAATTCTGACACCATTGGCCATTCTCTGCCCCAGACTTCAAAGATAAGGCCACATTTTGATCAAAAACTTTTCCCAAGCTAGATTCGGCCGGAACTCCGTTCCTTAGTAGTGTGACCCTCTGGACACGATTACCACATCCATTAGGCTAGATACTGCCTAACGCCGGCATCAGGTACGGTAGGTCACACAACACCTAAAAGGATCGGATGATTCGGAGACTTGTCGCAGGGGTAGTAGTCGCGACAGGACGTAGGTGGCTAAGAAAATTGTAACGGGTCGCGCACTGAGCGCAGTCTGCGATGATCGCGCCAGATAATGAAGACGATTTAGGTGGTATTGGTCGAATATAGACGATGTATGACCAGAAAATATATAGAAGTAAGTGTATATTATGTCCTTGACTGCATGAAACCCGATGCTGTAAACGAAGGTAGTGCAAACTGACGAGACGCCGCGCCCATTGCCGCACGCGACCGAAGCGGCCATTTACGATTCTCTTGACCGGACGCTTCCCTCGAAGGGGAAGTGTTGAACGTGAAGCTAAGCATATTGAGCTACCTCTTCGCTCTACTCCCCCTTTCTACTCCCTTGTATAAGTTTCAACAAGGTCCTTGAATTTTCGTTTTGAATGATTTTTCTTTTATTCTCATCGGTGAGGACGGAAAGTCGCAAAATGTACCCTCATTTCGAGTTATTGACACAGTCATTGTACAGGCTGAGTGAGCATTAGAGAGCCACTTTGATCCCAGATAGGCGTCGGATGTGTGCCCCTTTCGAAAAAGTGGCTGTCAGCCGGCAAGAGATTCACTTGTTTTATCATGCTTTCAATTGTATTTGTCGATTTTCAGAGCGTGCCGCAGCCAATCCGTTCAACAGAGGTGAGCAAAGCGTTGCTACATTGGTGAACTAAGCATTGCAAGCTTTCACGATAAATCGACTGAGCCGTATATGGTAAATATGCCCAGCACCAAGGATTACCGGTCTCCTGACTAAATTTGCATGGCGTTTTCTTCCAGCGAAAAGTGGTTTCGAAGAGTCTCAGCGAGGCTCATCATCCCTACCCACACTCACGCCAACATCAACAGCCCGTACCAACCTGCAGCTCAATGGTGCTTTTCAGTTCTCCAGGATTCCTCTTGGAGAGGACTTCTTTCTGGATATTTAAATTGTCGTTCTCGGCAGACTGGAGCTTTTCCTTGCGAAATGGTAATTCCCTTTCTAAAGTCTTAGACTTTTTCATGTTTTCTTGATTGTATTTCATTTGGCTCCCGACAGACCGATTGCCTTCATTATAGTGTCACTGGTGCGTCTCACTGTTTCTTGAGGAGGCTCTTTTATGTTGCCTTGAGGTTTTCTGCCATTTGAGATAATGTATTTTCACGTTTACCTTGCAGTCACTGTGATTTGTCCGCATTGGCGCATATCTCAGAAATATGCTCTTCCAACTCCTTATCGAACCTGATAATAATGATTATATTTCGGGCGGTTTCGGCGGTTTTGTACTGTTTTTGCTTCACTTTCGTCATATATAATGCTTCTTCGTAATATACAGTGCTTCCGTATTCTGCAGGGAACCCACTTACAGTCCTCATCGTTGCGGACTGTCGGAGCGGCTGAGCCGCGCTACAGCGACAGCGGCTGCGGCTCGGACGGTGAATCAGCTGATTTCGATGGAATTCGGCTGCGAATTCCCACTTTTTCAGCTCTTCAAGCTTCGAAAGTGGAAGGTGAGTCATTTTAAACAATTTTGAATTGTACTGGCTCTAATTTCCTTTATTTTTATGTCTACTTATTATGCTCTTTTCCTTGTATTTTGCCTTATTTCAGGCATTTAAAAACTCAATATAACTCTCTTCTACTTTTGAAGCTTGAAGAGTGTGGGAATTCGCAGCCGAATTCCATGGAAATCAGCTGATTCGCCGTCACCGAGCCGCAGCCGCTGTCGCGTCACAGATATAGAGCGCTCAGCGCCTCCGGCACCCGCATTGATGAGGACTGTATCATGCCCATCCTATGAATAGTTGATTGCTTGAAAACTTTTCATTTTTTGTCAAACAGCTCTATTCTGTTTAGTTGTTGCACATGTAAAAATTGGTACGCTAGATCTGCGAATATAGAACAATATCAGTAAAGATCCTTCGGGATAAAATCCTAGATCGGCTCTCGTCCAGGCCAACCAGGCCTTCTACCCTTCGGTACGGTTAATCGGTTTTCGACAGGGAGGACAAAATAGGCTCGAACATCGGCTGACAGCCGCAAGTCATTGTAGATATAGGCCAAATGCACTCAATCAGCCTAACGATTCTGAACGGAAGTAGAATGCGTGTCGCATCCCACGAAAGGGCCGATCAACGGCAAAGACTTTATACTTCATTCTTTTATCAATGAAGATGTTTCACACCAACAATTTTATATACGCTCATCAACAACTTCACTAACTTTTCATTAAAATCTTGAAGAGCCAATATGTAGTTGATCATTGCACATTTTTAGTCACCGTTACACTGTCCACGCTGACCGCGTGGGTGGAGACAGTCAACCCGTGAATCTTTGTATTATTAGTACATCCCTTCTTTTCACTCCCAGGAGGAAGTGAGCACCAATGAGTAAGGGCTATATGACAAATACTTTTCACAATGTTCCCACAGCAAATTTTGGCAGAAAATGAGGCTGTAATGCCTGTGATTTGGAGAAAGTAACCCATAGCCAAGCAGTGAGTGTGCGGTAGCAGAACAGAGGAGATTGAAAAAAAATTTATTGCAACTAGTATGGCAAAAATTTATCAAAAAACACATGAAGCAAATAGGGATGAGCCTCCACTAGGGCGAGTGTCTGAAATGTTGCTCTTCACACCTTCATGCCTGCGTTGTTGTATCCAAATCCTCCCAGTGATGGGCGCGTTTCCTCCGTTGTTGAATCCAAAGTCTCCATGGGATGGACGCCTGGTACTCGGTCGATGTCCCCCATTTGGGCCATAGTTATGTTCTCCAGAAAAACCACCAGGTCCATATCCGAAATGAGGAAAACTTCCAGCCATAGGGCCATATCCGAACTGGGGGAAACCTCCTAGTCCCGGGCCATATCCGTATGTTGGGAAGTTTCTTGAAGGATATCCGGATGATGGGAAGTGTCTATTTCCCGGGCCATATCCGAATGAACCTCCATTCATTGGACCGTAGCCGAATGGGCCTCCATTCATCGAATTGTATCCAAAGGGAGGGAACTTTCCGTTCATTGGCATTCCGTTTCCATGCTGGCTAAGGCCTTGGCCGATAAGTGCAGCCAGACCACTGACATCCACAGGAGGCTTTCCATCCCCCTTGTTGTTCTTATTTCCAGCTAAGGCAGCCAAATCGGTCGCTGCCAGTGAAGTCGTTTTGCTTTCGCTTCCCTGAAATGGGAAATTATAGCAGTTTCACTGGGGACACAGCCCAAACTGACCGTATGGGCAGAGACATATGCGTAGACAATCAGCCATTGCCCTTCTCCACTGGAGCACCCCTCTATCGGAGACGAGGAAACGACTGGGTGCACTCATGAGGAAGGCAGAATAGTTGACTGTCTCCGCCCATGCAGCCAGCATAGACTGTGCCGGGGCAGTTCGGCGACGGAGAGGGGGACTCTTTCCCATCGGCGTATTGACCCACTTGAAGGCCAACTTCATGAGCTTACAAGAGTTGACAGGTTTTACCATGTGGCTCGACGAGCTTGCTCCAGCTTCACAAGAGTTCACAGGTTTCACCAGAGTGAGACTTGTAAACCAGAACTAGTGAAGCAGCGAAAGTGCAAAATGCCCCCCCCCACTCAACGAGCTGCGCCGAATGTGCCTTTGCTGAGGTAGTATAACAGGCAGCTGATGTACTAGTTTTAAGAAGCATCTTCACTGTGAAACTCAGCCCAATGAAAGTTTCACTTGATCTTTCAGACTTTTACGTGATCAGTACTGCGTGAGCAGTCCAGAGCATGGTTCCTAGAGAGGGCGTGACTACGGGCTTGTGGGTGCAGCATGAGGTAGACAGCGTGTGCGTAAGAGAGCCTAAGCTACACAAGAAAGCGTTGGATCACTCCTTCATCCAGAATCGGCTATGCTTCAAAAAGACCCAGTTGCCGCCACTCTCGCAACTAATCGTCAGCACGCCCTCCCTCTGTGCCGTAATGAGAATAAGGAGTGCATTGATAAAAGTTCTGCGACTAACTCACCTGCTTTTGGGAGGCTGCTAGGGAAACCGTAATGGCCACAAGTAAGTAGGTGTACATACTGAAAATATCAAAACTTCATCCGCCGGAACCGTATTCATGTTAGCAGTCAGGATGGATGAAAGACAGAGGCTTAGAGCAGAGCGGCATGGCCAAACGTTGAAATAACGGGTTCACTATGATCTTATGGGCGGAGTCGGGAAGATCAGTGTGCCTTCTCATTGGTGAACACCTCGCCTGTCCTGCGTGAAACGAGTGGCGTATAAGTGCGGGTAAGAAATCCAAGTTGCAGCGATGTCGTTGCGCCGCCTTCGCACCGATCTGACTTGCGATTTCGCTTGATGCGAAGAATTCAAAGGGCCAGAAAACGCAGTTCACGAAGATGCGGGCTGCGACTCTTTACTGATACGTGTTCAAGGCGTGCCAATGAGGAAGGCGTAATGATCTGTCTGACTCCGCCCACACGACCGTCCTAGAGTGTGAGTTGAGGTCACAGTCACGACAAATGAATGAAGTGAATGGCCACGGGGTTATAAAATACAAAAGTGTAGTTGGAATGATTCGCTTGACTAAGCAGTTTATATACTCGAATACCGCATGAAAATTAGTTTCTTCTCCGATTTATCAGCAAAAACTTCAAAAAGTGCAGAGTGCCTAACATCTGTGTCCAACATCACAAAGTGGTATTAATCTTGCAACAGATCATTCTGTCGACTTTGCCGAGCAGAATCCCAGGGCATTTTCCGGTGATTGGTCATCCGTGCTGGAACAGAAGGTCTGAACAGACTCAAAGCCTTGCCCCTTTCCGAAGGATTTGGTGATTTTTATCATAACAGTGATCAAATATAAATGTTTAATCAACAAAACAAATTATTAAAATAATGACCTGAATTGTGAAAGTCGAAAAATCTCAGAAGGAATATTTCTCCTCCAGACACCACATATTTGCTTGCTTCCACGAATTTGAAATCAGATGGCTTCATTCCCCAGAATGTCTTACTCTCTTCTATATTGTTTCATTTATAGCGCTCGCCCTCTCTCAAGAGGCGGTTCACCCTAGTAGAATGGGCAAAGTCAGGCCTACAGCTCCACGCAGACCGAGTGGGCGGAGCCGAGCCACTCACCGTGCTTTCTCATTGGCTTCGTTATCACTTCTGTGTGTCGTACGTTGCGGATGCAAGCACAGAGGCACCCCAATTTCGCGTAACATTAGCACATTTTCGACATTTCCCTCCTAGTCGAATTGATACGTCGCAGCATTACGCTGCCCAACTGGTGGCTCCTGGAGCGAATGCCGCACATGGCGTTCCGCCTGCAAAGCTTTTTACTCACCCTCCCGGAGCTGAGATGTGCTGAGCTATATGCCTGCGTTCCTTTGACGAAGGCAGAACCGCAAATGGGCCACACCCATACGACCAAGATGGACTATGCCTTTGAAACGCGTCCAAATAATAGGTCATCTATTAGGTCATCCCATTCAAAAGTGCCGAGACATATAGAGGAATGGCAGAAAAGCAAAGGGGATAGAGCAGCGGGCTACTATACCATTTGGAAGCTGTGTATCTGTGAAATTTGGCGAACCTACCCACAGAAGAAGTTCTCGAGAAATTGAAAAGAAGCCCGAGTGGTGAAAATCAGCGCCGGATTTTCAAATCAGACGTCATAAGAGGGAAGTGCGCTGCTCAAATTTGACCTGCGCCGGACCAGTAGTTGTGTGTAATGGTGTTCTCGATATACAAGGTGGAAGGTTTGGTTCAGGAGCCCGAAGAAGGAAGAAAGGAAAAAATTTGTTGTCACAAGAATGCTGAGTTATGGGCAAAAGTCACGGACCAGGCGGGAGTCGAACCCG